TGTGCTCTTCCGATCTACTATTGAAGATTTAGAACAGCTGCTTGAACAATTTTTAAATCAGCCGAATAATTTTGAAACATCGGTAATACTTAATAATATTAATGAAATTAATCGTTTGTATATACAGAATTTGTTGCAATTCTTGAATTCTATTAAATTTTTAATTTTGAGTAAACTTATTGGACATTATTTAAAAATTTTTAATTTTTTAAATTTAATTTATAATACAAATAACTATTTATCTAATTGTACAATAACAAAATAATAGATCTTCATTAATAATTCTTTAAAAATAATTGCAACAAATGATCTAAAATTTTAAACAGACATTTTTGATTATAAAAAAAATTAACTCAGTAACACAATTAATAAATAAGAAAGGCCAATGCACGGTCATACCGAGATCTTCGTGCATCAATAATTTTATTATATGATATAATGTACGTATCCTAGCTTCGACTATACTGCGTGCCGTTACTTCCGGATTCAACGCACTCCCCATGATTGAAACAGGACTGTTTATCACGTATTCAATTGCTAATCAATTTAATAAGAACTTGATGCTAACTTGCTGATAATACAGTCCTGTTTCAATCATCGGGGGTTGCGTTGAATCCGGAGGTAACGGCACGCAGTTTAGTCGAAGTTAGGATACGTATGTAAAATCAAATAATAAAATTATTTATGCACCAGATCATGCATACCAAGATCTTGGTATGACCGTGCATTGGCTTTTCTTATTCATTGTGTATTGAAACGCTTATACGGTTAAATAGATATATATATTAACTCAGTAAGTTTAAATCAGAAATAAAAATTAATTTAACTAGATTTAAAGAAATTGGATAACAATTGTTAAATTAATTTAACAGTTTTAAGCATTATTAGTATAAAAATTAAAAATTAATTGAAGTTGATTCTTTTTTTAATTCTTTCTAACTTTAATTTGTTTTCTGGAATATAAACTGGAATAAAACTACTCAACAAAAAATAGGGAACATTTTTAAAACGCTCAAAATTGGACAGAATTCAAATCGCTGTAACTCAATGAAAAATTATCCTAGACAAAAAATTAAAAAACCATTTTAAAGCTTGAAACTTATACTTTAACATACTTTTTGTCGTTTTTAAAATCTTTTATCTTCACAGTTTTATATTTAAAAGAACATTAGGTTATTTTGTTCTTTAAAAATTATGTATTTTTTTTGTGAAGATCTTAAATTTTTTGAGAAAAAATTTTTTATTGAACTGCAGAGTGTGGAATGCGCGAATTTTTAAGAAACAAAATAACCTGATATTCTTTATATATAGAACTATGGAGATAAAAGATTTTGAAAAACAATAAAAAGTATGTTAAAGTATAAGTTTCAATGGTTTTTTAATTTTTTATCTAGGATAATTTTTCACTGAGTTACAGCAATTTGAATACTGTCCAATTTTAAGCGCTTTGAGGTGTTCCCTATTTTTTATTGTGTATATATATATAATTAAAATTAATATTAAACTGTAATATAAGCCTAGATTAATAAATCAATACGAAACATATTAGTTATATTTGTAACCTGTATATAATTTATAATAATTTGTATCATACACAAATATTTTATAAAAAATTAATATTTATTGTAGGTTAAAGAAGTATCCCGAGTTGGGGGGAAAAATCCTTACGATTTTATAAAACGCAACTGTACTCGTTTACTGACTAACAAACTAGCAGAAGAATATAGTTGGCTCGGGGCAAAACAAAAACGAAAATTTTGTCATTTAAAACTTGCTGACTTGCTAATTGGTAAGCGTCTGATATAAACGATATTATTTATCTGATTTACTGATAATAAAATGTTTATTTGAATGGTTAATTTTAATAAAATCATCTTTTCTAAAAAAAAGGCATAACATTGATAATTACATTTCTCGAAGATATTGTTGTTGCTTTTCTGCGAAGTTAATTAATAGTTGTCTCGCTACACTTACTTCGAGAATGACTGTCATTTTGACAGTTGTGTGTATTGAAGTTAATAATATAGTAGTAAAAAGGAAAACTACTAGTGCGCGCAAAGCGCGAATCTGTAATATTGATATAAAATAAAAATAGAGAGATACTATTTATAAAATATTATTGTATAACATTTTATTAAAGTTTCAGGTCAGGAGAGTAATGATACATATACTAAAAAGGTGTTAGAAGAAGCAGTTCAGAAATGGCTGCGTAGAGCCAAGGAAAGATCAGATGCTGAGTTGAAGAAGATGTAAGATAAACAAGAAATTAAACAATTACATATTCTATTATGTTTTCCTATTAAAGATAATGTTTCTTTATTATAAAGATCAAATTATATCAATATACACGTATATTTGTAATGTGATTATATGTGATATTATAATATAATCTATGTTCAAAGTTTTCATTTAAGTTTATCAAAACGTTTATTATTTGTGATACTAATATAATTGTAATAATATAAGTTTTGTTCAAATATTTAACGTTTATCAATGTAACTTACGATATAATATTAATGTTATAATTTCAAAGATTAAATCTGTA